AATCAATGACGTTGTAACAAAGTGTATTTGATGAAAATTTAAGGTTGTTGTCAGTAGTGATTTCATTTTATGTTATTCGTGATTTTATTTTGATGTCAAATTTTACCAGGCGAACATGGCTTTGGCATTGTCAATTTTGGAATGAAACCACATCAATATTGAGTTTGCATTGAAGTTTTCACAAAACTGTCTTGATAATTATTATTTATAGGAGTTGAACACAGTCCCTCTATCAGCATGTTGTGAAACATAGTCAATTCACATTACATGCATGCTAAATTCAAATAGATGTATTTATCTATGAAACTGTTTCTCTCACTTTCTCATAGTCATACTCCAATTCCATTTCCATAAAATAAAATATTAGTTCGCTAAAATCAGAACAAGCATCTGAGTATGTAACAACTGGTCACAGTTCAAGTTGTGTTCGTGAATAATACATTGTGTCATTCAGAATTTAATAATTATCTTCACCTAATTTTCCAGAAATACAGTCGGACTACAGTAAATACAAATGTACTTGTTGTATCCACTAACTTTACAATTAAAATCACCATTTTGACTACTCATCTGACCCATGATCAGTGTTCAGCGAGTGGTCAGTGTTTTCAATAAGCGAGCAGCAGGAGGAAAAAAAAATACAGTAAATTTTCCAGTCAGAAATACCCTGCAATCAAAAATCAATCAAAGTCTTAAGTGGTTGATGAAAAAGTGATAAAAGCCAGAGGTTGGATGAAATGAATACTTTTATGGTATGTACAGACAGTTCATCAGAAGCCTGAATAAAAACTTATTAATAAACTATCACTAGAATCTCTGGTAGCAGCATAGTCATTATGTCCACACAACAGGAATTATGATTACAATTTCATACAAAAATATACTGCAGACATATAAAGGAGGATACTTACCTCTTTTAAGAGATTGAGGCATGCTAAGCCCACCACAATCCATTTACACACTTCAACAAAGGGTGTAAGATCTAGATTGTTGGGGTTTTGACCAAACTTCTCTTGTCCATCCAGATACCATATATTAGTCGTACCATTGTTATAGACATAGTAAGGAGGTGGCATTATCAGTATATATGAAGTCAGTGCTGCTAGAAACACACAGTAAATGAAGAGTGATGTGTAGTAGACCCAGCGACCGTATTTATTCCATTTATGTCTCAATAACGAGATGGATAATGGATGTCCAAGAAGCTCTTCCCTCTTGGAATGCACCTACAAAATGAAACATGGATATAACTTACATAAATGAACAAATTGATGAACAATATTCAACACAAATATCCTAAAAAAACATAACTCGTATAACAAGTTGCAGCTTCACACAACTGTACACATAATACATGTATGTTAAGCATCCATGGATCTGCAGGAATTGTGTTAGCAAATCTGAAAACATATACCAAGTGTAAATGATATTATAACAACTTATTCCATAAATTGACACAGACTACAGGCAACTGTATTTGAGTCTGTTAAACACACTTATTATTAAAATGTATTTGCAATGTCAAACTCCTTGATCGTAATTATTTAAAGTGTCTGTGAAATACCTACTGACACGTTCCCCAGGCTACAGTTTAATATTGATTTTTTTGGGTAAATTTGAGATATGTTGTAGACACGCCCACCTATACTGAAAGAGTCGACAGTTTATGGCTTACCGACTCTCGTCAAATTAAAAGTGCTCCACTAAATGCAAAAATATGAGAGGAAGCCATAATACTGTATCACTTAAAGATAATGTTAACGATATAGAGTTATAGTAAAAGTTGTTGTTTTAACAACAAACATATTTACGATGGTTGGATGTTGTGTTGTTGGCAGATGCAGCAATGTGTATAGCAATAGTGTGAGAATTTACACGTTCCCTAACGACCCAGAGTTGCAACAACATTGAACGAAAGCTGTAAAATCAATGAAAAAAT